ACGACGACGACGACGACAACGACGACAACAGGAGAGAAACAGCACAGCGCCAGGACCACGACTAGATAGAGATGCGACGGCAAGAGCATAAACATCCTTGGCCCTCAGTGGCGGCAGTGGCGGTGGCGGCAGCGGGGGTGCAGCGCGCACGTTCCGCACTGTGGGCGTCGCCGTTCGATTCCTACCACGACGGCAAGGGTGTTCTATGACGCTATAGATCATGCGGGCTCCGCCTGGTAGGCGGAGACTGCCCGCCAGTTGGTACGGTTCATCTCGCAACACCGCCAGTGTTGCCAGCGCCTCCACCGATGCCCGCCAAAACGAGCTCTCAAACTGAGAGAGTACGGATCATCGGGTTCTTTAAAAATAATATTTTCGAGGAATCTTTTCGGAACTAAAGGGGCTTCAGGAAGACTTGGAGAGAGCAACAAATTATTAAGTGAAGAGTGTGATGAGAGGAAAGAAAGTAAATGTTCAATGAAGAACGAAGATTTTCAAGAAATTGCTCGTTAAAACATGTTTTTCGTAAAAAGATGTTGAAGATTATTCAATATTATTATTGCTTTACATGATTCATATTGTGATAAATGAGTTATCGATAATAATTTATCGATAATGTAATCAAATACTATATGTTATTTAATTTGCTTGACCAAAATTATAAATATAAAACTTTTGTAAGTTGTATCAAATATAATACTATACCTGAAAATATCAATTCCTGGCATAAAAAAATCGTGAAAACTTAAGGATGATTCCATTATAAATCATATATATATCAAAAGATAATGTACCATATCAATGTATCAGACATATTGTTTTTCATCATATTTGAGATAATATGAAAAAATAGTGCAATTATTGAATAGTTTACATTGTATATTTGTTAAGTCTTCGTTAATTTTTTATGTGTAAAGCAAATATGATTTTGCTCAACATATTAAAAAAATGTTTAATGCATATATTAATATAGATAGATATAATTTATATTTATAATAAAAATAAGAAAAGAATTTTTAATATTAAAACTGATAATAAAAATAATGTAATAAGTTTTAATTTAATTTAATATTTTTCAATAGCTCACATACAGTAGAAGAAATAATTTTATATTATCTAATTTTTTATTAAACAATCATCTAATTTTTAATTTCTTATTTAAATTGGCATATTTTTTTATATACCACAAATATATTTATTGATCCTATTATATGATGAAATGTGCATCATAATACTTATGTTGCTGCTAATTTGTCGAGAAAAGAATATTAAGCATGTACAAATCTTCAATACAACAAATTTTATAGTTTTGTAAAGCTACTGTGCATTTTGAGGTTAGATTTCGAATTATTCAGTAATATGCTCGATAACCTTACATCCCAATCTATCCCACGAATTGCACTCTTAGTTCTCTAACAAAAGATGCCGATCGAGTACTCACCTCGATCAGCAGTAGCCTCCTACACGGTTTTCCTTGCGAAAACCTCGAGAAACTCCTAGGTGTGGCTCCGTGTCGCCGTAGTGCCGTGGTTTGTTGTGCAGCAGCGCCCCTAGCGGTTGCAATCAGAACGACCACAGCTAAGCGTCGTTCTCCCCTCCCCCTCGTGCGCCACCCTTGCGTGCCAACATAG